AATAATATTATCTTTCACACTTCTACACTTGTATAAAGTTCTCCATTATAATTTTTATATTTTTCAGATTGTGGAAGGTAACAAATACCAAAAAAAGGTCGATAAAAAACTGATTTTCCTCCACAAAACAATGACATTCGTTGAATACTGATTCTATTCTGAATAGTTCATTTATTGAGTCTCTATACAGAAATAAATCAAAGAGCATTAAATCTGTTGAACTTACAGTGTGTCAGTGTCATCGAACCTGTTGGTCTGAATTTCAATCATGATGAAATTTTTTTTTCTGTGTATAGAATGAAACCAGGGGTGATCAAATAATTTATTTTTAATAGACAACACACAAATTGAAAAAATCGTTTTCGCCTTCAAGTGTTTACCTGTGAAGGTAAGTTATATCTTCCTAAATTTTTATTATTGGGATAGGAAATTATGGTATTAGGTTCACCTGCCACTTTGCAATTTTTCCCCGATATCAGCGATTCAACGTCGATTGCTAATATTCGGAAATTTATTTCGGCCGCATTCAGTCCCGTTGCCACTTTCTGAAAACGAGACGTCAAGACGAACAATTCTTCGATTCCTCTCCTGTTTTTAATAATCTGCAATAACACATAATAATATTACTGTTGAGTCACTTATATATAAAAAAACAAATGTATGTCCACTTGCGAAGACAAGGGAATGACCAAAGATACTTCAAGGTCGAATGTAAGCGTTTTCACCAGACATTTCTAACATAATAATATAAACGGTGAGTTAACTGTTTACAGATGAACTAGCGACACATTCAATCAACGCACGGGTGCAAGTCAGAGTTGAAATATAGTCCACAGCTACTACGACCTTCAGGTGTGGTGTACTACGGTCTCTGCAACGGACCCGAACTTTATCATTTGAACAGTTGGACAGATGTTACTTCGGAGCAGTTGTTCAAAATCAAAAAACGAACATACCTGTATGCCTGTCTATCGTATCGACTTTTTATTTCACTCAAAAACAAGTTGATCAAAAATTTAACACAGTTTTAGTCTCATGATCTGCAGATTTCATCAGTTTTTGAGATGAATCTGATAATGAAAAAGTCAATTTTCAGGAAATTTTTCGATTTTTTTCTGAAACTTTATTGATCCTGTTTCATTACTTTCCAGAAAGTGAACAAAAAAGTTGATCAAATTATCTGAAGGAACAATTCGTTCCGGTCAGTCTCAACTCCATACACTGTAGGTTGATGGACTGACATCCATCAGAAAATAACTACTCTCCTGGCTAATACCACGAAGGGCGTTGGATTATATCTCACTGATGAGTAGCCAAACAGCCCGAAACCGGTCTGCAAGTGGTTCCAATAATCGAAAATCTATTGCGGCAGTTGTATCGCCAGCAGCATATGCAGGAATAACTTCAGTGAAGAATCCTGCACTGACACCTTCAAGTATGCCCACCGACTATACGTGAATGTGAATCGCTGTGTAATGCCCGTTGTAAGTAGTCCCACTATGATTTGAAAGTGCTTATAGATTATAACGACAAGGAGCCACATTGTCTGCTGCATGATTGCTCATATCTAATCCATCCGAAGAAAAGTCAATGAAAACAATCAATTTGCCTATAAATCTTTCCATTGGAAATAATATTTTCAAATGAATTACTGAAATACGGGGAAACTTATAGATTGATAGGAACTTTGTACATTTTTTTCTTTCCTTGCACTTCGAGTACGTTGGTTTTTAATCTCCATCCAGAGTTTTCTCTTTTGTGAAGGAATCCAACAATGTGATAAACTCAATTGGCCAGTTCTTTGTGATGTGGGGAGAGACTAGTCCCAGAAAGGATCGAATGTTACTGATGAGTGTCCACAGTGTGTGCACTTCATAGTGGATTTCAATTGACCAACAAAATTGTCTACAATTTTAGAGTTGTTTATATTCAAATATCTCAGCCAGGACTCTTGCGCTTTTCCGCTGTCACTCAATTTTTCGTCAATATCCGTTGAGATCGGTTCAGGTTTCTCAGTAATTCCATTAAGATCCTCATGTACACCTTCTAAAAGATATCAAAGAAATTCCTGGGCGTATTGATGGGTAGTACCCATGAATCGAGGGGCAAATCTTTGAATCTGACTTTTGGAGTAGACTGTGCTGATTACTCTATCATATGAATCTCATGACCACAATTTCTTGATAACTTCTGCGAACGCTTTGAATAAAACAACTTTCATACTAGAAATACTAGTGTTTTCCATGAATTCCAGCCACCGTCTCGTGTTTGATAAACATTGGATTACACTGTTCATGGAACAGGTGTTTTCAATATCATTCAAATCATTAAACCCAAGAATTCTGACTGAAGAATGTATCACCGATCTAATGTTGTAACTGTTCGCCACTACTATCTTCTTCTGAGTGATCAAGGATACGATGATTCACTCCTCCATTGGATCGGTGGGATGAGGGATTCGAAGCTGAACTGCTCAAAACTGAATTGGATATCAGTTCTTTTGGGAACTGTGAGGGCTCTAAATGTGACTAAACTCAGTCACATTTAGCATTCCCACTTCCTCTTCTGTCAAAGCTTTACCGTTTCGCTGCGGTTCTTCCACCACTGCACAACTGCACAACTCTAGATCTCGCACTGTCTGTACATATTCGTTGAGGTGCGTAAAAATATGAGAATTGGATAGCGGCAACTGAGAAAGAGATTTGTAATAGATTATGCTCGATTGGGGATGAGGATAGGATAGGGTTGGCGGTACCATCATAGGTAGATGATGATATATTTTGTTCATGTAAAAAATGGATAATTCACTTGGTGTTTTTGAATTAGGAATTGTACCTTAACATGAAGCTATATTTTACTCTTTGAATCAGAATGCTAATTTTTTGAATCAACAAAGTGGTAGCTCTTGGGTTATTTGTCTCTTTAGAGATCCTAATGCCGATTCCATGAATGAACTCCAATGCTTGGGGGCGTAAGGTACCGAATGTTTCAATTATATCTGACGTTTCGTATTCTACTGTGGTAGACATTATCAAAGACTATCAGGCAACGGACAAAATGCTCGGGTTGTTTTCATTGCAGATACTTCATTCAAGGTTGGTCCTCGGGTTTGTTCTATTGAGCGTGACTCCGTTTCTCTTGGTCTAATTGAATGACCTCCTTTCACAAGTATGATTTGGACTTCAGACTTCAGTAGTCAGACTTTATTGATGTCAATCCCTTCGTTTTCTGTGCCTTCGAATATTTATAACCTCCCTATATGATCTTGGAAAATATCTCTGAGTTCTAGCAAACACCTGGGTCTTTTCAAACGCGAAAACCGGGTATTCACACTTCTTTTCGTGGCTTCAATGTAGACCAATCCATAGCTAGAAGAGATCCGATATCCGGAATACGCCGGTGTTTCTGACGACCCCTGGGATCCATCGCTAATCTCAGACTTTCTCTGAATGTTTTCGTTGACCTGAATAGCGATTTCAAGTTGTGTTTTTTCAGAATGCTTTTTTATTGACAGGCTCATTTGAAGTTGCTTCATTATTTTCTTCCTTGGATCATACTGCGCGCTCGAATTGGACCAAAATGATAGATTTTTTTCAAAGGGTCACATATGCTTCATACCCTGTCAATAAAAGTCCCTCAGCAAGAGGTTGGAGTATTTATTCAGATACCTGTACGATGTGTGTACGCTATGACTCAATGTTCCATCTTCTTGTCTGATTATCAGCGCATCCACACTTCTGCAATTCCACGAAAGTATCATGAAAAGGAATAAAGAAGAAAGTATACAGTAAGCATTCAGAAAGCATATGGTTCTGTGTGTTGCTACTCGTTCATTCCAAGTTCTATAGTGGACTTCCCAGCTTTTTCAAATTTAAAAGAATTCACAGTGCATACATGTCAAACGAAAACCTGCACCAAACTTCCGAATATCTCTCATATTGATGTTCCAGAACTATCAGATCTACTCCATTCTGGCAAAGCAAATATTTTAATGAAGCTTATGTTTTGAAGGAGATACATTTTCTCTTTGTATACAGGATTGTGCCATGTGGAACACCATATTTTATTACTGTTTCTTCACTGAGGCCATCATTTACCCTAACTCTTTGAATTATTTCTTGTAGATAGTTTTTCATCAGATCGTATGTTTTTCCTCTTATTCCAATACTTTTCAATATCTTCAGCAATATATGATGGTCGACGGTGTCGAACGCTTTAGCGAGATCTATAAATATGGCCAATGTTGGTTTGGCTTTGTCAACATATTTGGATATTCTGGAAGTGATGTATACTATGGCGTCTTGTGTGGATCCATTTTCTCAAAAGCCAAATTGTTTTTCATTCAGTAACTATATTTTGGAAACTGTACGGAAAATTTGTTATTTGAATTGATTCTGCTTGTAGGTGTACTTGTACTCCGTTACGAAACAACTAATATCAATTCTGCACTAAAAACTCACATCTTCAGTAGCCTACAACCGAATTCACTCGAGACCAAGTCACAAAAATATTACCCCCACTGAGTGGGGTGGCGCAACTAGATCCCACCACACCTGAAAAATAATGTAGCGCCGCCGCTGGTTGTTTTTCTAAGTGTAAATGAATAACGAAGCAAACAGGAATCACTGATCGAAAGCTATCAATGCAATGTGCCCACCGTGAGTGGTCACCTTGTCCTTCACTTCGTCCATCCTTGCAGTATTTGTCATCATCGTCCATTTATCGATCCACCAAGTTGTATCCCTATCGACGCTCTTCAGTACATAAACAGAACCACTATATAGCGATTGTAAATCACCATGTGAACATAATACATGAAGATTACACCTACAGATTCTGATTAAATGATAATAGTTTGCGAGCAATGATGTATCACACAATAAATCTGCATGATTACAGGTGAAGGATGTCAAACGTTGATACGATTTAAAGTTGTTTGAAACGTGAATTACGAGAATAAGAAATGTAGAACAAAAAATATGTAGTTTTCAAGCATTTGGGGTTACTGTGTCTTTGCTGTCTACTTAATAATGGAGAAGCTTATGCGTGGAAATGATAAATTTGCTCATTGCTCCTAGATAGTCATAAGATCAGAAGTTTTGATGTGATAAAATTACCAGGATCCTTGACCCTTTTAACTGTCCTAAACTATTGACACAGTTCAATGACAATGTCTTAATCAGCTATGATCTGTGGTAAGGATGAAAATCAGAGCACAGTCAGGAAGTCAGGAGTCAAAAGATATCATCTGGGACTTAAGGATATTGCACTATCAAGAATGTGCACACCTCCTACAAATCGAAAATTGGCATTCAAATAGGGATCAATTTCTATCTTCCTTCAGCTCTTCCTGCAAACACATAATTTCTAACAAAAAGGACCTATTGTGTATTTAAAGAATCTACCGAAAGGAAAACATTTAAACAATCCAAACTCATAAACGAAATAGAATTCAAGTGTCAACTAGTTTATTTCGTTTTGAATGATTTTTTCCACAAATCACGGTACGGTAGCCTGGTGGGTTAACGTGGGTGGTTTGCTTCACTCACGCAATCCACCGTTGTGTGAATCGGTGGTGCGAACCGCAAGGTTGGCCGATAGATTTTCTAGTCATATTTTTCAACCCGTGTTTAGGAATCACACGTTGAAAGGTAGGACTTCTTCAGTCCTCAGTTAGCACAAGTTTCGATTTTTGAGAGTTTTCGTTCGTAGAGTTTTTTTAACATAAGGTGAAATTCTCACAATATCAACTTTTCAGTACTTCACCTTCATTCCGGTAGCAAACTGTAATGTTACTGGATTATCAGCGACGATATCCGTACTTCTGCTATCGCCATATTCTCCTCTGATATTGAAGCAGGCGATTTTCACATCGCTCATCAAACCGAAGAACATAATTCCATCTTTGTTGATCACTTCAGCTGCACTTTGAGTACCTCTTCTTTTAGGGTATGTCTGAAAATAAAGGGGAGTCAGTTTTTTATTCAATTTTCATACTAGGGATGAACAAACAAATATTGGAAAAAGTTTTTCAACATAAAACAAACAAGAAGAAGTAATGTCAACATAAAAGAAACAAGAAGAAGGGGATCTCACTCAGCGGAAGCTGGCTTGTATATCTGTTTGGAAAATATTTAGTTTCAGAAGGGTTCACTGATTAAGAAATAGACAAACGTATGGATGTTTGAAGAGAAAATCTAGGATGTCCAATATTCGAAAGAAGTATATCAATAGAGAACATATCAATAACAGAACAGACAAGGAAAATCAATTGCGCCCATGGCTACGAAACAAAAGCATTACAAAAATATAATGATTACATACTCGTCAGGAATTGTGGACAATGAAAACTATAATTAGTGCACTATACTCGGATCATCATTTCTATACAGTGTGTAAAAGCCAAACGAAATAAATTCATTATTTCGGTCTCTGTACGTATTTAAAAAAAATCCTGAAACACGTCAAATTTAGATTATAATTTGACATTATTCAACGTGAAAATGCCCACCCTACCTTCAACCCCCTCCAATTTTTTAAATGGGAAGTATAGGTTTTCAAAAATGTTATCGCTTTAAAGTTTATTGCAACAATTAAGATAAAATGAATGGAAAGCATGTGGTTACCGAAATTCGATAAAAACACTCAAAAACTAAAATGTAATGCAAATGAAATGTATAATACGAAAAAGAACTATGGATGTTGACAAAGTAGGTGTTCAAAATGTTCACCGCGAACGTCTTGGCAACATCCTAATCTCAAATAAAACTGTGTTCTAACATTATTCAACATATCAGACGTGACTGACCTAATCGCGAGCGTTATTCGTTCTTTCAATTCATTCAAATCTGAACACATTGCTCTTTACATATCCCAAAAAAAATCTGATGAAAGATCAGATGATCACGCTGGCCACTCAATCGATCCTCGCCTCCCAATCCATCGATTGGGAAATGATTTATCGAGGTTTTGCCGGACATTAACTTGGTAATGTGGTGGTGCTCCATCCTGCTGAAACTATATCGTACTCAGTGAAACTTGAGGGTTTCCTGGATCAGGATATAAATTTGCTGAACTTTGAACGATATCATTTTGAATTAGTGGCAAACAATTATCGCCATTTAAGTTACCCTCAATGGAAAAAAGACCAATGATATGGTTTCCTACAATTACTGCTCAAACATTAACCTTTTGAAGGTATTGCGTGTGTTCTTCTCTCAGACAGTGAGGATTTTCCGTTGTAGTGGATGCCTGTCTACTCGATGTATGTGGGTTTTCCCCAAACTCAAACATCACATCTAATTTGAATTCATCACTCATTGCATTGGCAGCTACACATGACCAAGCTCGCGAAACTGCTTCTTCATTTTGCTTATTGTTCCTTGAGATATGGACGGTAAATAAGGAAATTTCTCATGGAATAAGCGAGCTACTTCCTGTTGTGTTCGGGTTTGATCTCCGTAACCAATCATATGTAAAACTGTTATTTTATGCATTTCCGTTAATCTAACCATTTGTCAGACTTGAAGTTAACGAACTTAAAACTTAAAATACTGACAACTAATATTGTAACATACAAAACAAGTTGACAAGGCGTTTTCAACTAACGTTGCCAAGGAAATTATTTACAGTTTTTTAAAGGATACCATTTGAAAATAACATTGCTATGGTTTCTGCTCACTTTCTCAGTATCAGCACCTCAACATGAAATAAGTTTTGAGTATATTGCAATAAGTTTTGAGTGTATTTTATCTAATTTCGGTAACAACATGATTTTATTTATTTTACCTTAATTGTTGCAATAAACTTGAAAGCGATAACAATTTTGAATAGAGAATGAAGAGACTTTTTAAACGATATATCACAAGCCTATGCTTCCCATTGAAAAAATTGGGTATTGTACCTGTCATTCGACAGGCGTTGAAGGTAGGGGTAGCATTTTTCTGTTGAAGTATGTCAAATTATTATTTAAATTTGACGTGTTTCGGTATCTTGTTAAAATATGTACTGTAACCGAAATAATGAATTGCTCTTCCATCCAGCCAGTAACTGCCAAATCAATCCAAAATATTCTGCAGTTGAACTTGAAGAAAAATGGAAGTGAGAAATGAAAATAGAGCAAGAAGAAGAGGCGAAAAACGTATAGATGAGAATTTAAACCCTTACATGTGAAAAGTCGAGCCATAAACATGAAATAAATTCAATAAATACAACGATAATGTTATTATTTTCTACATATGCATGGTGAATGAATATTAGGTATGGGTATCAACTGATCATTATTATAAAAGAAAAGAACTGAATTGAAACATATATTTCTTCCGACTTTTTTTGAAACTGAGTGTTGGTAGTGATTTCAATTCGATGGGTAGCCGATTAAACAAGCTTGTAATGTTATAGGAAAAAGAGTCTCTAAAAAAAAGGTTTCAGGTTAAGGTGCAGTCAAAAAATGTTTAAAACTCAAATTCAGATTACGTATATCGATTCTCAAGGACAATTCAGTTAATAGCAGTTAAGCAGGTTTTCCAGTTGATATTACCTTATGGAATATAGTAGTAGAATGCAGTATCTGTCCAGCATCTGTTCAGCCACCCAATTTGTACCAAATATTGAGACACATGCTCAGCTCTCCTTGCGCCTATGATGAGACTTATGTACTAATTCTGCCTGTCAGATTTCGAATGTCTCGAATCATAAACAGTATCTGCACAATTAGCATGAGATAATACCAGTGCGTCGCAGAATACTATTTAACTTTTTTTTGTTCAAAACATGTTTACTCGCGTTTTTCTAGTTTTGGATTGATTTTTTATAGAATCTGAGAGAGGCGTGTAGTGAATCGCAGAACATTATCGAGATGAAGGCCAGCATTTTTCGAGTTGAACCCCATCGATGGAAATATTAATCAATCGCTACAACGATTCTTTGCAATTGGCCCAACAAAGAGCATCACATAAGATTTAGATGGTCTACAGAAACACAGTATTCACTTGATTCAGTTATCATAGTGTGCAGATCATGACTCTTTGATCAAGAGCAGTATTGAGCGAGTTCTCATCGAATTCTAAATACAACTATGTATTGACGGCGTAACAATGCATGGAAGTATGAAGAGGGCACTGTGAGAACTGAAAATGAGAGAAACCAAGAGGAACGGGTCTAAAATCGATCCTTGAGTTACCCCATTATTCATTTTGAGAGTGATCAATTTTTTTGCCATCGAGTATGACATACTGAGAACGGTTGAGCAGGTTTTTTCTGAGTAGTGTTACCACACTTGAGGCAAAACCCAGGTATTTCAGTATTGCCAGACGTAGGGAGTTGTTAATGTGATCAAATGATTTAGAGTAGTACAGCATTACTGAAAAACAAAGTTTTTTATTGTCGATTGATTGATGCAAATCATCTACAATTTTCAAAAGAGCTGTTGTGCAGCTGTGATACAAAAAAAGGCACTGCTAGATGACAAGAAAGAACGGAATTCCAAATGGAGACAACAGAGGAAAAATTATATGAGTGGTCAATTACATCAATAGTTATGGAAATTCAAGATGAGCAGAAAACTGGCATATGAATGAGTTGATGGAAAGAAGTCCTTCAAGAAGAAGAAGCGAGAAAAGCGTCAGGTCAGGGATATTACTAAGCAATGTGTTGGACAAATCAATCTAGTCGAGGAAAAATGAGTAGGCCAATAAATGTTGATGCCTCATTCCTTTCTTCAGTAACAATCATTCATCAACTAGAAGAAATTATATTCTTGCGGAGATTTATTCACTATGATTTCAATGAAATTCTATATTCAGATAGGATATGATTGTTAAATCTTACATTAAATATTTCTGGAGATGATTCCGGATTCTCGCTGAAACGGGTTTGGTTTCTAAGATACGAAGTGTACACCCAGTTTTCAGTTGAGCTGGACATCGCATGATAGAACAGTTTCCTATCGCCTCCTAGTGAAGCAGGTGATAAACTCATTCCCAGCACACCATCCATCAAATCAAAACTGTCACCTGGAAATCATATGCTAATGAAGTTGTAAACATTGGAGTAATTTCAACCACTAATGTAATAATAATAATAATGATAAGGAGTCCACCTGATCAGCTGACCGCTGATCAGGTGGAATCCTTCTGGAAGGATATCTATGAACACCCGCAGACACTCAACTTAGACACTCCAGCCGTAGCGCAGTTCGAAGCTTTAAACAGAGAGCTTCGACAGCCTGAGCCCAATGAACTGTGCAACCCGATAACCCCGGATGACGTTCCAAGGACCCTTGTTGGTTCCAAGAACTTTACTGCTCCAGGCCCAGATGGGCTGAAAACTTATTGGTGGAAAAAACTACCAAGTACCCGTCACCATCTGGCCAGAGTTTTCAACTCATGGCTGGATGGAGAGCAGCCGATTCCGGATTGGTTTGTCGGAGGGCGGACCGTTCTCATCCCCGAAAGCGGAGATTTGTCGATTCCTAAGAATTACAGACCGATAACATGCTTGAATTCGTGTTATAAGTTGTTTACAAGTATCTTATACACACGAATACTCACCGCAGTTGACCGATTGTTCGAACGGATATATAAGCAGAGAGGGTCGAAGAGAGGAGTAAGGGCCTGCCGCGAGGCGCCCGAGACCCTAATGCACTTGCTATCAGCATGTACAGCATATGCGGTCTCGGCCTATATCCATCGACAAACCGTGGCCCTAAGAGTGCTATATTACCCTCTACGGCACTCTTACGGTATTGACGAGACACCGGTGTTGCCCTACGCTCCGGGGGATATTGAATTCGTTGTGGAGAATGAGAAGTGCCGAATTTAGTGGAACTATTCGTTCCCCACCCTCAGGCCCATACAAGCTATTAAGCCTGATGTAGTCCTTCTCGACCACCAGACCAAAACGATATTTGTCATGGAGTTTTCAGCTCCTGGCGAGACGAATATCGTCAGAAAAGAGGAGGAAAAACGGATAAAATATCGAGATTTTCTCTTCGAACTCCGCAGACTCTATCCAGATCACTCTGTCAAGATGGTTGTTCTGATTATTGGACTCCTTGGTGGAATGATGTCCTCCCTACTCTCGAATCTTAAAATCATACCGGCTTGCCGCACTAAGGCAGAAATCTTAGCCGCCCAGATGCAGAAGGCTGTCATTCTTGACTCACGACGCTTTCTCAGGGCACATGATTCTCGGACCCAATGATCACTCACCCCACGGTGTGGGGAGTGGTCATTGGTTGATAATGCTGGCGCGCCCTCCCGAATGTATCGGGGCTTCGGGGGATAGGGCCTGACCGACGCACACTACGGTGGAAATTTATAATAATATCGTTCATTATGAATAAAAAATACATTTAGACATAAAAGGAAAAGGGTTAGCTAAAGCCTATCTTCCACCCCTCCTATAAATTATACAGTGAGTGTAAGAAAATAATTATAAAAATACTTATTTACTATCATAACAATGACAGAGAAGTGAAAAAATAATAGATCATATATAGTTGCTAATAACTCTTTAATATTCTTAATATTATTTTTATCGATTTAACAATTCCATGACACTATCATATATTAAATTTTAAATATTTTGAATTAGCACTGAGTAGTAAGCATCTGTGATTTTATTTCTTTCTTGAATTGATGAATATCATGATTTGAAAGGGGTAAAATTTCATCAAAATAAGAAAGGGCTATATAAGGAAATCATACTTGAAATTTGGAAGTACGGTATATCTAGGTATGCTGAATGAGAATTCTCAAATTGATCATATGTATGTCAGAATGCCATGATAAACTATATGAATAACTAGGTGTTTTAGTTTGTGAAGCAACTTAAACCAAAAAAAATTTATCAAAACTTGGACTCTGCACCTCGCATTCACCTCCTTCACTTTTAACAAAAATGGTGTGACATGTTCACCATATGGTATACAGCATACGAATCGCATGCAAGCATTTTGTATACGTTGTAACTTCTGCTTGTTATATTGCGGCAAAAAATTGTAATACACCGAACAACAATACTCGATATAGGGGTAAATAAGAGTTTCAACTAACTAGAGTTTTATTTCTTCTGTAAACTGATACTTGAATTTATATAGCGATTTGAGTTTGAAGAATGATACTTTGAAAATGTTTGTCACATATTCATGGAAAGACAAAGAGCTATGTATGGTTACCCCAAGATGTTAAGCACTGTCTACCCAGTCAATGGCTGCGTTATCGAGAGTAAGCATAAAGTTACACTGAGTTTCTACTATTTGTCTTTGAGACCCTATGCATAAGGCCAAAGTTTTATTTGGATTGATTTTCAGTCCCTGATTCTCCGAGTATGGGAATGTTTTGTGCAAATCTGTGTTTATATTGGCCACGCAACTTTCTGTATCGGTGTTATGGGAAGACAAATATAACTGTATATCATCTGCGTATAGATGTACTTGACAATGTGATAAGAAAGTTTTGTAATCAAAAATAAACACTGAAAACATCAAGGGTTCCAAAATACTTCCCTGCGGTACACCTGAGATTGTTTCTTTTAGGGATGACCATGAGTAATCATCCAGTTTGACCCTCTGAGGTCGGCCTGTGGGATGCTTGACATCCATTTAAGAGAAATGTCATCGAATCCTATCAACTTGAGCTTATTGATGAGTAAATCGAAATGAACTAAATCGAAAGCTTTACTTTGATCAAACAGTACTAAAATGGTGACGATTGATTGATCTCTGAATCTCGCAAGATCGTCGATAACTTTCAAGAGGGCAGTCTGTGTTCCGTGTTTTTGTGGAACCCAGACTGCTCGTACGGGAGTATTCGATTTTCTTCAAGAAAAGCTCTTATTCTACGGGAAACATTTTTCTCAAATATTTCAGAGAATGAGGGCAGAATGCTGATAAGGTGTAGGTGTAGGCTTACTATATCTATATCTATCTATAGGCACTCGTGCTAGCGAAACGTCAGGAAAAAAATTATTAGACGACAGCCTTATGAATATAGGATTATTGGATAAAGTTCTTGAATTTGATGACCCCTGCTATTTCATAGAATCAAGATCCCCCAAAGACGTGTTGATATTGATATCTGCCTACCTTGAATGCTGTATGTACCACAATCAGGATTCGGGTACATGGTCTTATCAGTCACTCTCCAAGAAGTCTGTCGTTGAAGGTCATACACTATTATGGAATATGTTTGACAATCTGCCAAGTAGACGAACGTGTTTTGACAGTGATCTCTCGTGTCTCTTATCTCCACAACTGGTGTGACTAAAAAAGAGCGGGATTCTATTTGACTCGTAGGGATTTCATATCGGTGTAAAAGTTTATTCTGAAAACAAATTTTGTCATCGTGTTGTCATATGAATGGTTAAGGGCTTTAAGTAATTGCGAAGAAATTAATTCAGTGAAAGATAGGAGGGCTCCAACTTTATGAGAGTGTGTTTCCAACAAACTGTTAGGCTGTTTCCAAAGTTTTGTCAGTTTCAATGTCTTGTGTTTTTATATCTATATCTAAATACATATTTATTTTACTGATACTGATCGATAGAGAATTTCGCATTATATTTTTATTCACTTATTGATGAATGAATGTAATTTTTTCAAGTACAAAATACAAGCACAATATAAAAATCCTTAAATTGCTCTAAGAGCGGTGCCTTTGCAAAAATAGTGATTCACATTGGGTTTGAATCGCTGGAGATTGCATTAATTTGGAAAAACGTTCTCAGGAAGTTTTTTCTACATTGATGCATTTCTTCAAATGAAAGAGTTTTTGAGCAATGAAATTCGAGGTGTACTTAGTTGAACCTCAAAATGATGAGCAGCCACAGTCCGTCGCATATTTCTGATATGCACCGCTCTTGGTGGAATCAAATGTGCCAAGTCACTTGAACACTTTCTGTGAAAGAATCTATACAAGAGAGACAAATCTCTAACTTTTCTTCGATGTTCCAGACTATCCAGATTGCCAGTGATGTTCGCGTCCCCAATCAGGCGGATGGCCCTTTTCTGGATGTAATCCAGCAGCTTCAGGGTATGCCACAGATGAGAAAAAGACTCCAAAGGTCTGATCTGAGCTTTATACAGCATCAAAAGTTGCTGAGGTGTGTAAAATTTTCTGGTTGGAAAAGTGTTCCAAGCTTTTGAGAAGCGGCTTCTGCTATTCCACTTCAACCCCCAACAAATTTATCGAAGCAGAAAGTGGAATTGTCTGACCTGACATTATTATATCCAGTTCAGAGATATTCATCTTTTTGGAGAAAACCGATGCCTCGGTTTTTGTGGCAATGAATTCAACCTGGTTATTCTCACCTCTATTCCAAATTACTTATAGATCCTCATGATCCTTCTGCTGCCAGTGAAGATGTGCATCTGCCGCCGAGGTCCAGGAGTCCAAATGGAATGACGAAACAAGTGTGCTGTCGTCGGCAAAGCAATATATTGGATTCTTGTTTTTTTCAATCAGTTGTTTATATACAATAGAAAGAGGGTTGGAGATAATATAGATCCTTGGAGAATGGTAATGGGGTTCCTCGGATGGTAAAGTATTCGAGAGATATTCGTCGACGGCCACATGCAGGAAACGTTCTTTCAGGAAGCTGAAGAGCCATACAAATAAATGATTCGACATGCCATCGAAGTTTGTCCAACAAACCCTCATGCCACACACGGTCAAAGGCCTTAGAAATATCAAGCGCTACAGCTCTTGACTCTCCATATTTCTCGATTGTGTTATTCCAAATATGGGTGACATACGAAAGAAGGTCGCCTGTTGATCTTTGTTTCCGAAAGTCATATTGATGATGGCTCAAGATGTTTAAGCCTCCCAAATATTATTTGAGGATATTATGATGGTTTACGGCTGTCGCCATGATTTTTGATATCACTGACAGCAAAGCGACTGGTCTATGCCCTTTTTGGGAATAGTCTGAACGCGAGCAATTTTCCACCAAGGAGAAAAAACCCCTTTCTTGTAATACATGTTGAAAAGTCTGCAAAATACTGATTGATGCGAGTCCATTTGCACATTTTTTAAGTACGATGACGGTCACTTCAACAGGACCAGACACCTTGTTGATATTTAGGTGTTTCAGAATTCACCTGACTAGATGTTGTCGAAAAGTAATTTTCGGCATTGTGGATTCTAGTGTGGAAATAGTGAGTGGTACCTTTCCCAGAAAATCAACTGTGGAGAGGGACGCAAGTTGTTCTGCTAGTAGATTTGCTTTTTCTATGACTGTTGTTGCAGTTGAACCATCCGCTTGTGTAAGTGGTGGAATTGTGAATTACATACTGTCATCGATGACATTAGCGGATTTAACACATTCGTGACATGAGGTCGGAATTTTATGTATGGATTGAGTGCTTTATCATGTGATGTTATCCTTATAGTGTTTCTGTGAGCCTTGAAATGATCTAGAATATTTAATGATTCTACAGCCACTCTATCGAGTTTGTAACTGAAAGACACTTCATGTATCTTAGATAATGTGGATGAACGGAAAAGTTTTCTTCCTAACAAAGCTACAAGACATATTTTCATTTTTTTTAAATTTTTTTCATTTATTTTTTTAATTTTTTTCATTTTTCAACAGTGTTCAATGTAAGGCAGATGGTCAAGCAGGTGAAACCGTAATTCGCGGATTTTCGCCATGGCAACCGCTGAGGTATGAGACGGTGTGTTGTTTTGGTAGAACAGGATTTTTTCTTCTGCAAATGTGGCCATTTTTCCACAAGTTCTGCCTTCACCTTGTCAAGTAATGATGCGTAGTAGGCTTCTGTAATGGTTTTACCTTTTTGAAGATGATCAATTGAAATAACTCCATGCTTATTCCAAAAAAAGTCGCCATCACTTTCCCAGCCGAAAAAACTGTTTTTCCTTTTTTTGGAGCTGGTTCCCCCTTTGCAGTCCACTGTTTGGACTCTATTTTTGTTTCAGGCGTATAATGGTTTGTCCAAGTTTCATCTACAGTAATTTATCGACGCCAAAACTCGGATTCACTGCATCTAAACTACGCCAACACAGCGTTGGGAATGTTCATTCGAACACGTTGTTGGTCTAACGTGAGCAAGCGCGGCACCAATGCGCGGACAGCTTTCTTATGCCTAAATGTTGATTTAATATGTGACAAACACTTTTTTTATAATCTCTGCTATCTCTCTCACTTTGATTCGGCGGTCGTCTAGCACCATTTGATAAACTTTGGCAATGTTGGTGGGTGGTAGACTGAACGATCTATTTTCACTTGCTATCGTCCAACCCGTGTTAGGAATCACACGTTAAAACGTAAGACTTTGTTAATCTTCAGCTCGAACGAATTTCGACTTCTGAGGGTTGTCAGATTTTGAATAGATGTTTTCTTCGGTAGTTGCAGTTTTTGAACGTCCCGAACGTTTATCGTTTCCTAAGCTCTTACGGCCACGTTTGAATTTAGTTGCCCAAAATTTCACTGTGGTAAATGATGGTGCGAATCCAAAATGGCTGAAAGTTCGGTGAGTAACAGATGAACAACGAAATGCACAGCTTTCATTGACTAGTGCTGCAGATCTCTTTCGTATTTTTGTATGAATGTAGTTAAATTCAGGATTTTTAGTTTAGGTGGGAGGACCGAAATCTCAAATTTCTGGTAATTTTTATTCACTCACAGTTTTCAAATCAAATGCCAATATTTGAGGTGGGCATATTATTTCATCCAAAAGTCTTCCAGCATCCAGCACCCAGAGTCGTTCACAATCGTCTATCTGAAAATTTAAAAAATGTCAAGTGTGTCAACTAAAAATCTTGAGTGAATTTCACCATAAAATTACTTTTCTACGGGGTACGCAGCGCCCTCTAGATGGAACATGAAAATTAATACGAAATTATGATTTCACACGTCAAAAAACCCCGGGTACCAAATAACGTGCAAATTACTTTTTGTTTGCCAAAGTTATTTTTAAAAAACGAACAAAAAATTTCGATTTCAACACCTTTCATCTTCAAAATGGAGCATTTTCGGACACAAGTTTATATAGGCTTTTTTTAAATTGTCTCAGGAATACGTCACTTGCATATTTCAACGTACTTTTGTTACACCCTGTATATTGGTATTATGAATGAATTTTTTTATGCACTTGATTGAAACTCTGAAAAGGCCAGTTGTTTTCGCCAGTTTTTATTATTCTCTTGCTAGATTATTATTATTTATTATTTTCTGTTACCTTATTGAGCCATAACTTACCATTACTCTAAAAACAGAAATCAATCTGTTAGCCTTGCATCGTTTAGGATTTGTGTGCCATTCCCACGAAGGATATGGTGTGATTATTGGATTGCCATTCCTGTTTTCATTCGAAACTGTGCCCAAACTAGCGGGTACACCTGCTTGAAACCTTGGAATGGTGATGAAGACCCTGGTGGCGCTATTGTCATCTGAAGTAAAATATAATATACAAGTTGAACAAACAAAAAGGGTTGAGGAAACAAAAGTATCAAGTACTGATTTTACTGATGAATAAAAGCTAATGAATTTCGTTGTTCACCCGTTGATAGTTACTCACCAAGGTTTTAGCTATTTTTTGCACACAGTTGTTATGTAGCAGTCATTTAAGAGAGTTGATGTGAATGTTTTCATGAAAATGGACAAAATCAAGTATCAGGCTGTCATTAAATATTTGTTTTTGAAGGCAGTACGCTTACGCAAATCGAAGATGAGTTGAATTCTATGGATGGGTACTCTGCAACATCATTTAACACAGTTGCGTAGATGAATTTGAACGTGGCCGTAAAGATAGGCAGACGATGAACGTTCAGGACGTCCAAAAACTGCAACTACAAAATTCACTGAATGGTGCTGGATGACCGCCGAATTGAAGTGAGGGGATAGCAGAGGTTATGAAGATGTCAAAAAAATGTGTTTGTTATATATTAAATCAACATTGACACATGACAAACAGTGGACTGTAATGGGAGAACCAGCTTCAAAAAAAGCAAAAACTGTTTTTCAATTAGGAATGGGATGGCGACGTTTTTTGGGATAGTCATGGAGTTATTTTAATCAATCATCTTCAAAAAATAAAAACCATCACAGGAGCATTACTTGACAAGCTGAAGGCAGAACTTGCGAAAAACCGCCATGCAGAAAAAATCGTGTTTCACCAAGACAACGCACCGTCTCACACCTCAGCGGTTGCCATAGCAAAAATCCACGAAGAAAGGTTTAAACTGCTTGAACATCTGCCTTACTCACCAGATCTAGCCCCAAGCGAATTCTCTTTGTTTCCTCATCTAAAAATTGCACTCAGAGGATAGAGATGTTTGTCGAATGAAGAGGCAATCATCTTCGCAAACAATTATTTTGCAGAGAAAAATGCCTAGTATTATTTGGACGAGTTTCAGAGATGATTGAAACAATCTAGTACGATGTTGCTGCAGTATAATCAGATTTCCATTTCTTGTTGGGTAACTGTGACACTTTTAATTTAGTTTCAAACTCAGACTCCTTCATTTTTACAAAAAGAAGACAATTATAAATGTATATAGATGGAAGGGTTAAATTTTTTTTCCCTAAAAATGGGTCTACAGGAATATGTGTGTCGTAGACCATACAGCTTACGTATTATCCTTTTTTGAGAGATGAATGCTCGACTAATGTTAATCCCTTCTCCCCACAAAAGCACATTGCAAGATAGTACTGAATAAACCATCGCATAGTAAATGTTCAACCTTTTTAGGTTGTACCAATGCGTAAAAACTGGTGTTGATTCTCTTGCAAACCCAATTTATGTGAACGTGCCAACTCAACCCAGAATCTATATGAAGACCTAAAAATTTTGTGGTTTCCGACGGATAAATAGTGACATTATTTATATGAACCTGTATAGGCTCTAAGTATCTTCGGTTGAAAAATTGAACTAACATCGTTTTGTCGGCATTGACTATAAGTTTATTTGTGTGACATCATTTCGTAAATTTACGACTCATTGTGTTCAGTTTCGACTGTAGTTCCGCAGGACCATCAGCTCCTTCTGAGACTGCAATATCATCGGCAAAAAGTGATATTAATTTTGTACCTAAATGTTGAGGTAAATCATTGATATAATTCAGAAAAATTAGTGGTCCCAAAACTGAGCCCTGTGGAACTCCAATGTCTACGTTGAATGTAACAGAGTTCGTATCATCCCATGTCACATATAATTTCCTGAACATCATATATGATACTACCCAAGCAAGAAATGTCCCTCTAATAACTATTGCATATGATTTGTTTGTGAGTATATCAAAATCTATGGAGTCGAATGCCTTGGATAAGTCAAAGAAAAGCGCAGCTACAAATTTACCTTTGTCAATACCGTTATAAATATGCTCCAAAAAAGTTGCAGCCGCTCCTTCCGTCGACTTACCGGGGTAGTATCCATGTTGATAGCTACTGATTTTTGTGAAACACTGATTGTGTTTCACAAAATAATAAATAAATTGTTACAGATACTTTTTTCAATTACTTTAGCCAACACACTGGGAATGGTTACTGGTCTATAATTATCGATTATAAGGGGGTTATTTTTCTTGCATAAGGAAACTATTTTTCCAATTTTTAGAGGGTCTGGAAAAGTTCCGTCCCCAACAGATTTATTGATTATGAATGCCAGTGGTTCACAGATGAATTCAGTTATAGTTTTTGTAGTGAGGCAGTCCATTCCGGTGGAATTTTTATTCTTAATTTCAGTAATGACATTGAAGACCTCGGTTGGTGTAACAGGATTGAAATAAAAACTATGCATATTAACGTTTGAATCCTTTGTACCGAATAAAATTTCATTTTCGAATTGATTTTGTAAATCATTTGGAACCATAGTTGCATAATATCTGGAAAAAGATTCAGCAATTATTTTTTTATTTTCAACCAATTTGTTTTTAATGTACATTTCCTGTGGGCGTTCTTACCAGATTTCTGATCGATAGATACATTATTCGGCATATCTTCGAGATCGTACACTTTTTGTAAGCATGAAAGGATGAAAGAAGTAATCAACTGAAGAACATACAAAATTATTCAGTTTGCTTGATATGTACATATATTTAAATATTCTTCAGTTTTTTGTTGACTTTTCCATTTACAATTTGATGACGGGGAACAGACATCGGAATGGTGAAAAAACATTTTTACATTGTATCTTCCATTTTGAATCTGAATATACAAAAAATATAACGACTGTGAATATTTCATCAATATCGTATGATCCTCGAATATCAAAGTTAAACGAGGCACTTCAAGGCAGTCAGTTGCAAAGCCAAACTACGCTGACGTGATTCTTCCTTCATCTTTACTGCAGCTACAAAGCAACTAATTGAATCTAAAGATCCAAACACAACACACCTATGGCGCTGTTTCAACCTAACTAGGTCGAAACAGCGCCATAAATGTGGTATCATCAGTTGTGTCCAGCAATGCATTTGTGGTTCAGACTTCCACATCACATGAAATCTATGCCGGGTCGACACAGCACTGTCTGTTTGGTTAGTGGTTTTTGACTACTGACAATACATCTGACAATTATTTTCTTTCAGATACTTTCTGGATCGTGAGAAAAGTTGATTATACTTACTTGGATAATGGACATCTGTATCGATTGGTGCTATTTGGCCAGGTATGAAATTACCAGTGTCTATATCTGTCTTCCTTTCATATTCAGAGAGATAATCAAATTCGAGTTGCGACCACTGATAAAGCACCTTCAAATCCAGATTTTTGAGAAAAGTTGAATACACACTAGAATTCCATAGTTTGAATATCAGAAGGGAATATACCAGTCCTGTGAAAACAAATTATTAGTTAGAATATAGATTTCATTGAGTGTTGATAATAAAGATAAAAATCTGAGATGGCATCTAACACCTGAAACCTTCGGTGAGTGGCGCCACTACTTACTCCAGCAACTAGTGTAAAACCGCACCGGCAACGCAGGCACACCTGGGAGGAAGAACACTACGCCTCCTCCAGTGCCGGCTATGGGTATATAGGGATAACCACTCGGTAGACTCAAAGCTTGGTTCCTTGGACCCGCTTGTTGGGATCAGAGCCAAGGTGGTGGTGCACATAACGATGATTTGCCTACCGATGACAACCCTGGCAATGATAACGGACGCTTTGAATGGTCACGTGATCTAAGAGATAGCTTTATGCATCGCAACAAGAGTAGTGAGCCCGCGCGAAGAGAGTACTATACAGAATATATGCTCTGTGGTGTGAAACACATCCGAAGCATGCCGCCTTCAACGCACAAAACCTTAGGGATGAAGTATCTCATCTTTGGCGACAAGACTATATAGGGTGTAACATAAGTACGTTAAAATATTTAAGTGACGTATTCCTGAGAAATTTTAAGAAAAACTATGGAACGGAAGATTCCCATTACTATGATGTTAAATGAATAAAATCTACTTGTAACTTAATTACATTGTTAATATCCTTTGAATAAAGATCTTCTTAAAAGGTAACGTAGTGTTTTGAAAGGTCACATAAGAGTAGTTTGATCTAGTGCTAAATTGAAACGTAACAATTGGAGGAGGCGGCTCTCGAAGAAATTAGTGAACATCCAGAGAAGTACAAGAAAAATTAGTCTAACTTTAAACGTGAGTCACATGACAGTTTACAGAATTTTAAAGGAACGGCAATTATATCCTTATCATATTCAGCGTGTCCAGTCACTTACGCTACGTGATTTCCAACCAAGTATCGAATTTGCTCAATGGCTTCAAAGAAAAGTCGAACAACAACCGCGAATTTTTTCGACAATCCTCTTCACAGATGAGGCTAATTTTTCAAGAAATGTTATCATGAACTTCCATAACAACCACATCTGGGCGGAAGATAACCCACATGCATTGAATTGAAGATTGTTTGATTGGGCCCTATTTTCTCCCCTTACGTTTGAATGGAGATGCTTACCTACGAGCTTCCCCAACTTATGGAAGATGTTCCCATTGGTCTTCGAAATCACTCTTGGTTTATGCACGATGGAGCTCCTGCTCATTTTAGTGTGATAATTGATATGATATGAATGATAGTGGCTGCTAAGGAGTCACTAGTGAGCGGAAAGTATCGCGGAAAACCTCAGGTCCTACGAGAAACCTTCTCGCTTATTCCAAGAGCCTCCACGTGTTGTGGATAATCCGCCGACCGCTGATCAGGTCCTTCTGGAAGGATATCTATGAACATCAGCAGTCACTCAATTTAGACATTCCAGCTGTTGGAAGTTTCCAGCAGAAAGCTTTGATAGCTTGAGCTCAATGAACTGCGCAACCCGATAACCCCGGATAACCAATTTTGAATGGGTTTGTCCCCAAACGCGGAGATTTGTCGATTCCTAAGAATTACAAAAGGAAAAAGTGCACAAATTCGAGTTTAAAGTTGTTCACGAGCACGAATACTCACTGCAGTAGATCAGGTATTCGAACGGATATATAAGCAGTCAGAACCCGTCCATCAGAAGGCCTATAAAAAAGCCTACTAGGATGGTGTTCTACATCTTAGTATAGCGCAGTCGCCTGACGGATGAAGAGGTTCCTGACAAGGTGCATGAACTGCCGCGAGGAGCCTGAGATACTGATGCTCTTGCTGTCAGCATGTTCAGCATATGTGGTCTCAGCATATACCCATCGACATAACGTGGCTTGTTGGAAAATTTGTTTGTATGGCTGTCCAGCTTCCTGAAGGAACGTTCCCTGCAAGTGGCCGTCGATAGATATCTCTCGAATAATTTCACCATCAACTATGATGTTCTCAAGGATCCATATTGTCTCTAACCCTCTTTTCATTGTATATCAATGACTTATTGGAAAAAACCTTTACTTTGCTGACGACAGCACACTTGTCTCGCCATTTCATTTGGATTCTAGGAGATCGGATACGCAGGCACATCTTAACCAGCAGCAAAAGGTTGCATATCTTAATAAGGATCTAGAAGTGATTCCGAATTGGGATAAAAGTAACCAGCTTCAATTCAATGCCACAAAAACCGATATATCGGTTTTCTCCAAGAAGATAAATGTCTCCGAACCGGATATAATATTGTCAGGTTAGACAACTCCGCTTTCTGCTTCGATAAGTTTATTGGGGATTAAAATGGATACCAATATTTCTTGGCACAATCATGTCGCTGGAATTGCAAAGGCTGCTTTTCAAAAGCTTGGAACACTGTTCCGAACTAGAAAACTGTACACACCTCAGCAACTTTTGATGCTTTATAAAGCACAGATCAGATTCTCTTTGGAGTATTGTTCTCATGTATGGAACTCTGCCCCCAAACATACCCTGAGGTTGCTGGATTCTATCCAGTAAAGAGCCATCAGGTTGGAAATTTGTCTCCCTTCTATATATACTTTCACGGGAAGTGTTCAAGTGACTAGGCACATTTGATTCCACCAAGAGCGGTACATATCAAAAGAACTGCGTTAATGTGGAATAAACTTCCTGAGAACGTTTTTCCAAATATATTTAATCTCCAGAGATTCAAAACCAATGGGAATCGCTAATTTCGCACAGGCAACGCTCAGTTAGCGCCTTAGGGATTTTCCTGTAGTGCTTGAAAAAAAGAGTGCTTGATTACCACCTACGGAATTTTTACGGTATTGACGAGACATCGGTGTTGCTCTACGCTCCGGGGGATATTGAATCCGTTATTGAGAACATCTAGCTGTCGCCCTCCTACGAACGACAACTCACAACTGTCGAAACTTGTGCGAGCTAAGAATTAACGAGGTATTACCTTTTAACTGTGATTTCCTTTGCTCTATTGCAGTTTGAGATGTATTTATCACATTCTTTCTCTCAAATTATGTGTGCTTGAAGTAAGTTGAATTAATATCATGCTAATATCTTTAAGAGTGATGACATCATGTTAATTTTATCATTAAGTACGAGGCGTGGAAGATAGCCATAGGCTAATTCTTATCTTCTTGTGTGTAATTTAAGCGAAATTTATTATTATTATTGTTATTATTATCATTATAATCATTAACATAACATTGATTTCCGAGTAATAATTTGATAACTTCATTGAAATATTCATTATCGTTTTTTTTATCATATCTACTTTATATTAAGTTTACTTGAAAATAATATAATTCTATATGTTATCAACCAATTATAATTATCTTTTTGTATTGTGTTATGTGATATTTGTAATTGGTAGCTTTGAAGTTAACTAACCTCGCTATTATTCAGTATTACACTTCAATTATTCACTGAGTTCGATGAATGAAAATTGAACTGATTACCATGATAACATCTACATTCGACTATATATCTTCTAGGTATTCATTAGCAATTCTTCTGAAAGTCAATGAGGAGACTAGAAAACTAATTTCTGCAGATATTAAACCCATCGTATTGAGTCCACAACAAAACGAATGCATTCATGATTACAATTATTACCAACGTATTTACAATTGCATAATTCAATTCAAGGTCTTGGCCATTGTCATCAGATTGAAGGTACATTCATTCATAAAATAAGTGTGTCGGACAATGTGCTGGCTGTTTCAATTGATTTCCAGGCCATTATATTGATTGTGGTCAACAGAATGTATTTGTTTTTTTTTGTCTGAGCGATATAAAGCGGCAAGTTATATTTGTTACGAAATTGATGGAGGTAATGAAAGGTATAGAATATGTTGAATTACAAAAAGAGTTATTCTGCACTGGTTCAACAATATTTGTCTAAAGGTCTAAAGCATACGCTCAAAACGGGAACTGTTCATTTCCTGACAAAAAAATAGACGGTGTTCTTCGATAACGTTTTGCAACATATTTGCGGTGATTTGATAGATTTCTTGCCTGATGTGGTGTTTTGAGTAATTTCAGTAATTTATTCATTCAATAACATACTTGTACATCAAATATTTCAAATAATATATGACATCAGAATTATCCCACTGAATGTATGGGTTGGTCCTAGGTATGAAATATACGTGTATTGTGCTTTCCCATTTATTCAGCAGGATTATAAATCATGTTACATATCAAATACATAAAATGGATATGTTTAATAAATACAATGAGTGAAATCGGAAGGCTGTACAATTCTAATAGTTTCAGTGAAATGTTGGCAGGAGAGCTAAGAAAACCTGTATTTCAAATTTAAAATACTTATATTGATAGGCGAATGATAGCAAAGGTGAACGGTATTCTATTTGGAAACGGATTAGGTTTCCTTGTATACAACTTTTCAAGGCAGTTTTGAATTTTCTCATACCATTTTTTGTTTTCAGGTTTTTAGGAGGAAGGTTGAAATATTTTGGGCCATAATAAAAAAGACTTCTTTGGGAATGGAATTTCCAGAAAAGTGAAATTTGTAATGCTGTGACTATACTTGACCTTGTTTATATCATTTTCTAGTTTTTTAAATTTACCAATGTTTGAATAGGCTCAGATAATGCTTCTATGAATATACAGGGCTATTCAATTTCGTTTCTGTTCATGGGGATCTCGTAAACGATAAGAGTTAGAGTGTCAGTTAAATTGTGGCAAAGTTGCGTATTTTAGGACCTATTCAATGATTTGAAAAAATGGAATATAGCTCTTTTGGTTCTGGAGATATACAGGAAAAACTAAAAAATCCCAAATTATATTTTTGCCTTCTTTTTTCGCAGACATATTGAAAATCTGTCTACATTTTGCTAGTGGCACTTGATGTGAGCTATCAGAAAATGTTCATAAATCTTTCATATAGGGTGTCATCTGACTTGGGCNCACTATCATTTCATTTCAGGTTTATTGTTGCTTAATATAATTGTTATTTTCAACTATTCTTTTTTAATTATTCTTTTTTACTTGTTTCAGGGATTTCAAATCATTTTATATAGTAGACAATGGAAGTCCGAACTAGTGAAATTCATCACGAAACATTGTCAATCACCTTCAAATAAGTGGCCCCAGTTACTGTCCCCTCAAAAAAAATATGGTCCAATTATTGTGTTATTCAGAATGCCAGCACAAACGTTCACTTTAATAGGATACTGTGTGTAACCTTCCCTCATTCAGTGCGAATTTTGCGTACTCCAATACCGACAATTTTGCTTGTTCACCGTTCCATGTAAGGAAAATGTTTCCTCATCAGAAAAAATGTTTTGGAAAACATCGGACTATGTTGACATTTATCCACTATCATTTTACAAAATTCTAATCTACGATCAGGATCAACCTCATTCAATTCTTGATGTAGTTGACTTTGATATGGATGTTATTTATGAGTTTTCAAAATTCTCATTGCAGAAGTTTCACATACATTATTATCACCAGCTACTTTTCTTGTAGGTATATGTGGGTTTTCATCAAAAGATAATAAAACATCCAATTTCTTGTCGTCGTTCAGTTTTGATCTCCCAGCTTTGGGAAGATCTTTGACAGTTCCAAATTCACGAAATTTTTGTTCTCTTCTACTCACTGGAAAATGTGATGGTCAGGATACTTCTCATTGAATATTCTGCATACCTTAGATTGTGTAACAGAATACAATACAAACAATTGGATAGGTCTAGCGAATTAAATGGATTTCAAATAGATCTTATCTTTTTGTGACATCCAAATGTCACAAAAACATCTGATGCTAATATTTGACAACAAAATAACTGATAGACTAGTAAATTAGGGGAGCGGGGAGACATTTGTAACAATTTGTAGTCTTTTGGCTATGAACGCTTACTTGTTTGCCATTTCGGAAATCTATAGCAGTACAAGTTACAGCTAGCCCCGTAAAAGTGCTAGTTGTAACTTGTATCCACAATCTTCTTCCCGAAGACGATTGTGGATACCCAACAATCAAAACGTCGTGGAGTAACTTGGTTTGGAATCTTTTAATTTTATATTTTCAATTTTTTTTTCTTGTTAATAGTTTTTTAATTTTTGAGCTCGTGTTGATAGTTCAATTTTTTTGTTTTATTATCGTTGTTACTTGTATGTTATCTCATTGTAATTTCAGTTTTTTGCTTAATACAATTGTTTTTTTCAGCTAATCTTTTTAATTTTTTCACAGATCCTTTCAGGGATTTCAAATTAATTTATATCATATTAGACAATGGAAGTCCGAACTGATGAAATGCACCACGAAACATTGTCAACCACCTTCAAAGAAATACCGATAATATAGTTAACTTACTGGGGACTTGATAGTGTTTGGTAGTGTGCTTTTGTAATGTCAACTTTTACTTTTCAGACAACAGATCAATTCAATTAAATTATTTATCAACTATCTTTAGAAGGTAATCACAAATTATTATTTTATTTACGGTTCTCATTTCGTGGTACCATCACTGTTAATTGCTTTTATTTTTGTATGTTTGCGTGCATTATGGAGTGGTGCTTGTTGGTTGAGTTAGAGTAGCTTTGAGCTAGACTTCGCCAAGGAGTACCAGAATCTCCTGTAAACTATTTTCATTTTCAAATATATCTTTGTATTGTTTTTTTTTGTATTATCAATAAAGCCGATTTATTATTATTATTATTATTATCCCAGAGAGATAACGTGACGCAAAACCAGTGGGGAGAGAATCACACAGTTGCTTGCGCATGGTTTAAATAAAGTAATGTAATTCTCTCAAGAAATATTGTCATCTTCAAAGTAGTTCCACTCGGATGCAATACACTTATGCCAGCGTTTTTTCAATCTTCGAAACAGTTCTGATATACACTTTTTGGTAGATATGTTCTTGAGCTCCTCAGCGATTCGATGTTTATCTCCTCAGTCGTCGCAAAACGCCGTCTTTCCTAAACACGGTCTATTCGCCTGCCATTCACTTTTTTATTATTTTTTTAAGACGCTTTCATTAGCTTCACATGTATGTATATATGTTTGTATGTTTGTTTGTTTGTCATTTTGTTTTTTTTTGTAACTCTCCTTTTCATTTCATATTTATTCCCGTTTGAATGCTCGAGATCGGTATTTGACAGAATTATAATTCGAACTCACTTTACATATATTTCTTCATTTCAAAAAAGTATTTTTTTATCAATACGCGTGCCTGCTGCCTTATTTGTAACCCTTCTTTGCGTGCCTGCTGCCTTCCTTAGGCTTCCTTGATTTTCAGGATAATGCCTTCAAATTATCAATAAATCGGGAAACCGTCTGCCTTGTGAAAACTTGTTCATTTCCAGTTACTGTTAGTCTACGCTGTGCTTGGCAGAGGGTGAAAAATTAAGTTCAGTCAACCATTGTTTTGATAAATAAAAATTTCATGCTTTAGTCAAAACACTATGTAACCGTCTCCCAATAATTTTTTGTGGCTTGCTTAACCTAGCCTTCCGGTTGCATGAATGGCAGACGGTAAAATGTTGGTCAAAGAAGCGTTTTTTTTATGCAAACCAGAGTCAATTTTCAAGCATGTGTAACATGGGCAAAAAATTCATTTAACGCATAATACTGTTGCTTGTGGCTGTGTGCTTCTGTCACGAGCTCCCGGTCTATCCATTGTCCTCTGTAATCTTGAGAACAGAAATAAGTCGCAAGGAGCCAAATCTGGTGATTACGGTGACTGAGGCATGATTACAGTGTTGTTTTTGACCAAAAAATTGCGAACAGACAATAACGAGTGAGCAAGTGCATGAGTTGTTTTTCCGCAATCCCGGGCGTTTTACTACTTCTTGCAAGCGGTGCATAACTCCAAAGTAATACTCCGTATTGACCGTACAACCTTGTGGCAAGAACTTCTGATGTACTACGCCACGGTAATCAAAAAAGTTGAAGTGCTACTTATTGTTTCAAAATAGGTATGGGTTTTTCAGTCGTTATTACTTTTTGGAAAAGTTAGTCAAATGCAGATCGTGGTTGCGAATATATTTTGATAGAAACTCGCTGTTTTGTTTTGATAAGATAGTTTACCGTATCGTGTTTACACTAGGCTCTTCAATTTGGACGATTGGACTTTGGTTTCGATATCATTACCGTATACCCAGCAATTCTGAAACGAACTTTGCTGACATATAGTTTGTCAAAGCTTTCGGAAATTTAATAAATTGTTTCCATCATCAGGGATGAACTTTTTGAGAATGTTTCATACGATGGTTATGTAAAATATTGGACACAACATGTTGGATGAGCATTGATACAATACATTAATAAAAATAGGAAAAGGATGTTGGATAAAATATTTGATGACAAACTTTACAGTTTGAAATTGTTTTGAAAGAGGATAATGTCACATGTCGAAATTTCACAAATCGTTCCTATTGGTTAGGATTGACAGACAGTTGACATGACATTATGTCCGTGGTTATAGTGATAAAAGCTGTTGCCAACTTCAAATTGTAAAGAATTTGAATTAAAAATATAAAGTACATTATTCTATTGATGCTAGATTTGATGAATTCATTGAAACNCTAAACATCCGGAATTATGATCATATGTTCGAGACGAGTGTACCAACATAAAGAAAATGAAAAAATTGCTAATTGAATGTTCGTAGCCCACTAAAATTGAACATTCACCTCATTTTTCTAATAGTTCACATACATAGTAGATTAAAATTTGATAAACACATCTACAGAATTCTTTCAAAGCATAGCTTGAACCATCCTACTACTGTTACTTAGACCTAGACCTAGACATTCTAGGTTTAGGTGTACCTATACATTCTAGGTCTAGGTCTACTTGTTGATCACATTTTACATATGATGGAACAAGTCGATACTTGATGAAAATCCATGAAGTATTCACAAAACACTTTATAGTGGGATTTTCACTAAACAGTTTTACAAATCTCACAATGAAATGTTTTTGAATACTTTTCACATATAGTCAGTGGGCATACTTGAAGACTGGCTATACATCAAATCATCTAAAAGAACAATTCGTTCAGGCCAGTCTCAACTCCCTACACAGTAGGTTAATGGACTGACACCTATCAGAAAACAACTACTTCCCTGGCTAATACCACGAAGGGCGTTGAATTATATCCGACAGGTGTCAGTGCAGGATTCTTCACAGAAGTTATTCCTGCATATGCTGTTGGCAATACAACTGCCGCAATAGATTTTCAATTATTGGAACACATTGCAGACCGGTTTCGGGCTGTTTGGCCACACGGCAGTGCAAGGTAGTGTATATCATCAACATAAAGTCGATGCTGCACTGAAACCTGTCGGATATAATTCAACGCCCATCATGATATTAGCCAGGGGAGTAGTTGTTTTCTAATAGGTGTCAGTCCATTAACCTACTGTGTAGGGAGTTGAGACTGGCCTGAACGAATTGTTCTTTCAGATGATTTGTTTTTGAATACTTTTTACATATGATAATTTTTTATTTTCTATGAACAGGACCGCTCTTATACTACAAATCAATGTTTTATAAACATGAATGCATTTTGTTGAGTTGTTGAATAAATAGAAAATGTGATGATTTATAATCAACGTGGGAAACAATAAATGAACTTACTTTTCATATTTCACGGGCTTGACCCAGTTTGTAAAACACCAAATCACGATGACAATAGCAGCACTACCAGCAAATTAATTGATAATTATACTTCCTGTATCTGATAGCCCCTCTTTTTATGGCAAACACTGTATTGCGGATAACACTGGCGAATTTCGCACACACTGATCAGACGATGAGTCGCAATTCTCCTGTCAACTAGTCAAGTTTATAAACGAGACGGGTTTTTTTGATCAAGCTATGTTGAAAGGAAAGATCGCTTACTTGGGATGTTCACTCGTTTCGAAATAACCGTTGTTTTTGCCGGTTTGAATATTGTGGGATAGGTAATTATACCTGCATTGAATTTTGATGGAGATGCCTGCATTGAAAATGTAAATGTAAATCACAAACTGAATGTTGTCATGATAGTTCAGGACTGTAGTCTTTTAGGTCAGATGGTGAGAGTACGGCTCTGCCGAACTCTAAGAACTTGATTCTGTCCCCAGTGAAACAGGCACAAAATATGTGCTCTGCTGTTTCATCATTCTCCAAGCAGAGGCGACACACACTGTCTTCCGACAGTCCGAGTCTCTTGCATATGACGATTCAAATGACTGATCTGTAAGAAGGCCTGTTAGACATCGTAGTTCATTTCTACTGTAGTCCTACAACTGTTTGGTATCAATCTTCGGAGGATAAATAAACGCTTTGGAGTGAGCCGATCCTGGAAGATTCTGCCAGAAGTCCATGAATATTCTTGCCATCCAGGTGTTCAATCTTTGTTTGGCAAAACCTAAAGAGATGTCAATGACAGGTTTTGGTCCGATGAAGCTGCTTGCAGCACCCTACTTTGCGAGGGAGTCAGCAGCCTCATTGTCATTCAGGCCAGTATGGCAAAGAACCCAAACCAGATACAATCTGTTAAGTCTTCTTATCGAGGAGAGTCGTTTTCGGCAATTTGCTACCAATTTAGATGTTGCTCGGTAGGAGCCAAGAGCTTTCAACGCCGCTTGACTATCCGAGAATATTTTTATTGACTTGTGGATGAGGTTGAATTCTTCCAATCTCTCCGCACACAATTCAATAGCGTAAATTTCCTCTTGGAATACAGTCGCATAGGTAGGTTGATATCTCTGTCCTGGGTCTGCGACTGAAAATGCCTGCACCAAAACCGGAAGGTGTTTTTGATCCATCTGTGAACGAACAACTATCTGCTCTTAATATTTCGTTATTCCGAAGCATCATGTCTCCTCTATTCGAGAACAGTACTTTATAAGCCAGTTCGAGAATTGACAGTTGGAGACATGAAGTCAGAGGTCATTTCCTGAATGCTGTGACTTCCAGTGACCTTTGTATTGAATCAATTAGTGCAATTGGCAATGTGCACAAGTCTATATGCAGTCCATCTAGCCTCTCTCTCCAGCAAAATGTAGAGAAGAGGTAGATCTAGAAGGATCTCTATAGCGATTTACGGTGTGGTACTGATGACGCCACTGATGGCCAGACAAACCTGTCCCCCCTGTAAGCCACTAGGCCACTAGGCAAGTGCACTATAAGTGATCTTTGGTTACATGTCCATAGGGATAATCTGACTTTGTGTAAGAGAGTCATAGTTACGACCGCACCGGGGGGCCTGGGGGGCCGGTTAGGCCCCCCAGACGTACCCTGGCGTTGGATGCGATCGGGCGTGGAGGGGTGGATTTTCGGGAAATCCTTGCGGGTACCGCCCCTCACCCCACACCAACAGGATTTCGCAGGGCTTCCTCCCTGAATTTGTCACCTCTTCCGGGNCCACGTCTCTCAAGAGAGAGAAAGATGTTCGCCTCAAGCAATTTTAGTAGGTTGGTCTACCAAATTGTGGTCGTTTTCTGGCAAAGGAAGGCGACTGATTGTTACCCACATTTGAAGTATTGATTGTTTTGTTGAAGACGGTGTATTGATTGTTTGAGTCAAAGCATTTTGGCTATTACCATGAAGACATGTCTTGCATATTCAGCCAACGACATGGATTCGACCTACCCCGCAAAACATGGTAAACCTTGTATACAATTAGAACCAAATGCAGAAAATGTGCTGACTCACTTTTCAAATGGGGAAAGAACCTTTCCCCCAGATGCGACTGTGCAGATGACATGCAAACAATCAGCCACATCGTTAAAGACTGGCCACTGAGGGCCTACGCCGTGCCCCCTTGGACTTCCGGACAGCGACTGAGTATGCAATTGAATATACACGTGACTTAGATGTTTGTTTGTAAAATTAATTTCTTGTGTCTTTTTATGCCTTCAAACAATTATGTTTGTTATGTTAACTTTTGTGATGTGATTAAGCCATATGCTAAATAAATAAATGAATGTGATTATGATGAGAAAGTTGAAAACATACCAAATAATGCATGAAGGAAATCGGATATCAATGGGTGGCTTCGGAAAAAAACACACCATTTTTTGGTAATGAAAAATTGTTCAAATATACAATTCTACACAGAATAATGACATTTTTCACTATAATCTATCAAATCGTTTATTGAGTTGAAAATGTAAAAAAAAATATGTTAATGTTTTTTGAAAGTTATTGAAATCCTAAAAACAGCCACATGAAACGAAAAAAACATAGATTTTTTTCAATAATAAACAATAGTAACCGCTTGATTTGTTATGAAACAAACTGAAATAATGATCAATCATTCTTCAAAATGAGTTGACGGCCAAGTATGTAGCTATTGTTGATGATCTATTGCAGCAATTGTTTATAAAATTTATAGATTTTTTGTCATTTTCGTATAATACAAATACGAAAATAAACCTTGGCAATAATTATCTCTTGATCACATTCATATTCATTATACTATAGTTCAAATTATACGCAGGTTAATATAATTTTTAATTTTTTTCATTGCATCACTCATTTATATTTTGCTGCGATTTCATTTTCAATATATTATTATGAGCTTCTTTCAGAAAATGCTGCTTTATTTATCCAAAAATAAATGGAAACATCAGCAAATACCAAAAAATTCATTTATATTTTTTAATTTGGCCGATATTTCATCGCCGAACAAAGTTTTTTGTGGGTCCATTACCGTATTTAAAAAGTTACAAGTCATGAAAAATAGAAAAGTGACAGAACATAATGGCTGATCAATAATAGTTACTAAATAGATTTCAAATTTTTCTTAGATCAATTGCTCTTTCATGAAAACAACGTAAGGTTCATCATTGTATCTCTGGAAGTTTGAAAGTTATATCAGTTCATTTCTTCACAATGAAATGAAAAAAGAAACAATAATGAAAAAAAAAAACATACGATGATTTTGTTTTTCAATGAATATTAACTCGTCTTCCAACAGGAACTTCCGAAAATGTATTTAGTTCGTTTTGCCAAATCACCATGAATAGATATAGCATTCAACAACATGTGCAAATAATAAAAAACCTGCTCGGGCAACGTAACGCGTGCTTCGCCCATTTTACGATCGCTATAATCGTCCACCAAGTGGAGCATTCGCAATGTGGTGGATAAATTTGAGTCCACTGGTTCAGTGAACGATCGACAAACACTCGTACGTCGATGAACTCAAGATTTGCCAAAAAAATTGCCGCTGTCTGTGAGAGTGTGCAGAAGAATTTGATGCTGCCACTTTCGCGTCGCTCACAAGAACTTGGCTTTGCGCAGACCACAAGTTGACGAATATTACGTCGTAACTTGGGCCTGCACCAGTACAACTGAATCAGGAACTAAAGCTAAATGACTATAGACACTGACGTGTTTCAGCTGTATGGACTCTGGAGCAGTTTTAGAACACTTATTTGAATTTAATGGAGGAACAATTGCCTAGCTTACATAACTATATTAGAAAACATATTTGAAAATGAAAGAGAGTAGAAACAATTCCTCGTTTTGACGAAACACAATCGTGTTTCACACATTTTGGGCAGATCCAGGGAATTTCTCCTGTTTTGCATAGCCGACAAAATTTAATGGAGGAACAATTGCCTAGCTTACATAACTATATTAGAAAACATATTTGAAAATGAAAGAGAGTAGAAACAATTCCTCGTTTTGACGAAACACAATCGTGTTTCACACATTTTGGGCGGATCCAGGGAATTTCTCCTGTTTTGCATAGCCGACAACGATCCTTGGTGATATATATGGGAAAATGATCAACCTTATCGTGTCTCACGTCACTTATAGGCCTCGGAATTACTGCTTTTTTCATTTTTAACAGATTTGTCTCCTTCGATAGATGTTCTTTTCCTTTTTTGTTCTATCATTCATTACCAGCTCCTGCGCAATAAAGTATCTGTACTCTTTTTCAAACTCAGTTCTTTGCTCCAATAGTCAAAAATTGTCGATGTCTCCGGCACAATAGCCATGCGTGATTTAAACATATATCTATCATTTGAGCAAATATAGACAGATACCAATGGCGAGCTTTCATTCGAATGCGATAGAGGGAGATTAGCATATCCATCAAGTCTACACCACCCAAGAGAGCATTATAATGATTGATAATACTTGGACATGGGACATAACCCCTCTCCTTTCTGTTTTTGTCATACCTTTTGATAGTGCTTATTGGTTCAGAAGATACATAGGTATTGATTAGGGTACCACTTGATGCATGTGATTTTTTTCTCATTATCAGTTTTGTGACAAAAAACACCTCGTGCTCTTTTTGCCAATGTTTTGTCATTCTCTAGGGTGCAGTTCTTTAATCGGTTTGTTCTTACAGTTTCCAATGACAAAATTCAATAGTTGTTGCGCAATATATAGACCAAACCGAGGGATGCAAAAAATTATCAAAATAGATTGCGGTGCACGGTGCATTTCGTATGGACTGACAGAGCAATGACAACCTTAGCCCCTAATCCCATTGACATTTCTTCATCCGTGAAGTTTTGATGTTGAATAAATGTTTCTTCTCCTCCATACTCAAAGAAATCATACACAAACCCAGATATGCCCGCTCTTACAAAAATGTTGTATACCCATTTTTTTTAGTTTTGATTTGGTCTATTGCCTTTTAGATCCAGCTTTCTTTTCTTTGTACGGCACCATCATTTCATTGATACTTTTTACATTTTCTACCTGAACACAGTTCCTCCTAGCTATAGTCAAAAGAGGTCTTATTTTGAAATATGGATCATTATTCTGATTTCTGTTATTGACAAAATGAATGTATCTTTTTATCTGCTGATATCGTTTCAGAGGCATTAATTCTGCAATTTCTAGGTACCGAAACTTTTGTCTCCAGT